GATAACAACATATTTAATAGAACGTTATCACATCTTTCTTATAGAGTTGATAACAACATATGTAATAGAACACCGTCACACCCATTTTTTCTAAAGTGGGTAACAACATGTGTAATAGAGCATTATCATGTTGTTTTTTTGTAAAGAGTATATAAGCAGTATACTCATCATGCAGACTAACCTTTCAGAGGACTTCTTGTGCTGTTTCTTTTCGTTCTGAGACAACGTTCTGGAATCCGTACTTCCAACATTCAGAAAGATCAACCGTAGTTGAACACAGATAGACAATCATTAAAATGAGGCACATACACAATTTTTATATTGTACATAACACCCGAAACAAAGAAGTTTTCAGAATGAGAATAAAGAAATTAAGAATTAGCTGAGACTGAGGCCTAAAAACCAGCAATATATGACCATAGAACTGCATTCTACAGAAACTCAACAAAAAGAGAATTTAATGACTTACCCAATGACCAATTAAAATTGATCACAAGTAAAGCCATCCCTTAGGGCCACACTGCTTTCTTAATTTCCTCTTTATATTTTGTGTTTATCAGTGAAGACAATAGGACAAGGAGTCATAAGTTGAAAATTAGGCAGCGTAGGAGTCGTCTGCAGTTTAGAAAGTATTACTTTTCAAAAAGGGTGGCTGGATTTTGGAATGAGCTGCCGTCAAGGGTGGTGGAGGCAGAAAATTTAACTGAGTTCAAGAAAAGATTGAATACATGAGTAGTACGGGGTGGTTACAGTTAGGAGCTGGAAGGGACATCCTCAATGGGCTAATATGCTCCATTTTGTCAGTTTAAAATTTTATGAAAATAGAGACCCGACGATCAAAAGACCCAAAATGTCATTTCAAAATTAACTAAAAAAACAGCACAAGTCCATGGAAAAATGGAAGTCCTTGTCATGAGATGACGATAAGCGAGCCATATACAGTTATGGTACTGTGGTTTTAAACTTAAACGTTTTTATAAAACCAATGAAAATTCCAACATCAACCAAATTACTAAAAACAAAATAAAAAACACATTTAGCTGTTAAAATTATCCCCTTTTCCAAGCAAATTTATAAAGATACACTCTATTTCAAAGGCGTTAAAATGTTCTAATTAAAAACTGCAATATTTGGCGATTATTTTTATAAAAATTATTTGACCTTTTAGTTTTCTTGATTCATTTACTTTTGTATTTTAACTTCTAAGCCTGTTGAAGCAATTTTAGCACTGTTTTAAATGTTAAATGCCATAATGATTGTCCTTATACACAATACCCACAATTAAAACAATAATACTGGCATTATACCAGCAAACTTGAATATTTTAATGAAATTTTTTACTAAAAATGTCGATTAACATTTTTAAAAAAGTTCTTACTTTGTTTAGCTGAGCTACCTTTAATCCACTGTATATATTAAATTCAAATTTTCAGGATGTATAACACATCTTTAATTGTTGGAGTTGTCTAGTTTCGATGCTCTGAGATTGTAATTTTGTTTTATTTATACATGGCTATAAATATACGTGTTATGTATGTTTTTATTTAATTAAACAAAATAAAAATAAATACATTTGTTTGACCTAATTCATGTTTATAAAATAATAGTTATATATCCCTATTTTTCCTAAAATATTAATAAACTGAAAACAATAGTTATCTTAACCATATTGATGGATTATGCCTTTCATAAAACATTATTATTAGGCCTATTACATTGGGTCTGGGCTGGCTCTCGACGCCCCTGCACTCGATTAAATCCATCTAAATGGATATGACAAATATAGTGTGATTGGAATAATACTATTATACATTCTTCTAATTCTTGAAAATCTCTGAGGGACTAGATGAAGAATATAGTGTTTAAAAATATATTAGGCCTAATACTAATGTTTTATGAAAGGCATAATTGTAATTTTAAATTTCTGTTCTTTATTTCTCTTTCGGCAGGTAACGGGCAAATTAGACCCCTGTAAGTTTGTAGCAGTCACTAGTACAAATGCTGCTAAAATATTTAACATTTATCCTCGAAAGGCAAGTAAATCCAATTAATGATTTTCTTTTTTTTACACTAAAATTAGGTTGAGTTATATATAAGTGTTTTTTGTTAAATTGTAAATTTGTATTTAATCTTTTAACCCATAGCAAGAATTATGAAATAATTTGATGATGTTTTATACTTTATAAAGCTAAAAGTAATATTTAGAATTCAACTAATTTAAAAAATACTTGAAATCCATCAAATTTTAATCCTGTTAGTAGAGTATGTATAAAATACAGTATATAAAATTATGTTTAATATAATTATTTTAATTGAGCAAAGAAAATTTTCACATGTAACTGATGTATGTATATTTTTTTAAATTTACTGTCCATTAACTAGTACTAGCATTGATATCTGACTGTGTTATAAGACATTTTCTTTTAGTGTTCTACTACTAGACTTTCTATATTATATAGATTCCTGTGATTCCTTAACATTGGTGATAATTTTATATCAGACAGTATTTTAGTCCTAAAAATAATTAAAGGACCTATTATTCTTAATTTTTTTGATATAACAAGCAACTTAAATCCATCAATGAACACGGTTTTATCATTAAAAATTTACTGAAATAATATTTATTGGTATATATTTAATATTTCTGATTTATTATCAAATTATTGTAACCTACCATTTCATTCAATAATAAGTATCAACTTTAACTTATGAAAATATTTTAATTATGTTGTGTTTTATTCTCTATTGAATCATTTCATTTGAAGATTTAGTTACTAACGAATTTAAAATACAATTCTTAGTGAATCTTAAATATCATCCAAAAATAAATGCCAAATGTTCTTTTAGGGAAGAATCCAAGTTGGATCTGATGCAGACATTGTTATATGGGATCCAACTCAAGTGCGTACCATCTCAGCCAAGACCCATCATCATAATACAGACTTTAACATTTTTGAGGGGAAGAAATGTCATGGAGTGCCTATATATGTTATCTCGCAAGGTCGAGTTGTGGTTGACGAAGGAGAGGTAAGAGTTGTTCATTTTTCATTTTCTCATCTCTTCAAACTGAAGATTAATTGTTAGTAAGGTAAACGAGAATTTTGTTTCTTGGCACTTCCAAATTTTGAAAGGATACATCGTGAATAACTTCTTCGCTTCAAGTAGATGTAGACAAAATAGTAATGAACAGCACTCAATCAGTCAGAACCACTCTAGATGCCACTGCCTATGTAGAGACACCATGAGAGACTTTCAGCCATCTTGATCATAATGGCTTCCGGATGACTCCAACAAAACATTATTCTGTAGCTACTTTTTACAGTTATTTTGTTTCTTAAAATTTTTTTCAGAGCTTATGTAATTTATTTTGTTTTTTCATTTTTTCTAACCCGAGTTGATGTACAAGTTCCATTTGTGTAATTACTAATAACTTGTTAGAATTTCCGAGCCTTGTATCTCTACTACCGCAAGAATTATCTATATTGCTGACTGATCGATGCACTGAGATGTATGCCATTATACTTGTAACAGCACTGACTGAAATCATCTAATCTCGCAAGAAGCCAACAAGCCTGGTGCAATCATGTTTGGTGCACCCCAAAGAATGGTGTGCTCCCCAGGTTGGCAATTACCAATCCGTATCACTGACTGACAAATGTATATAAAAATATGAATCAAATAATGATTTGTTTAGTGTTTCTGAGGCACATACAATTGAAATAAATATAAAAACTTAATACGAAATCGTTCCAGTAGTAATAATTTATCATCTGCAGCTTTTACAACTTGTATCATGTACTTTGAAAATGGCCACAAATCTACATTTTACTGTGTTAGAGGGTGGATAAACGTTTTTTGTTTTTTTTAAAGTTATGTTGTTGTTGTTGTTATACTAATTGATCTGCACAAACCTAAGTTACTGTTTATATTATTTTATTTGAGTACGTTACAAATGTTTGTAAAGTTAAACTAATATCCTGTAGGAATAGAAAAATATTTATATTAATAGATAACGAAATTCAAGTCTTTTAGTATAGTTGAACCGATAAAAGTTTTAAGTTTTTTCAAACTATCACGTTTTCATAAAAGTGCCAAATTTTCCTTCGAATGTTTTTCACATATTTCTGAAACTTAATATGTACACACTTTTTTTCTCTGTCTCCATCAGCTCCACGTCAGTCAAGGTGTAGGTCGTTTTATTGCTACACCCCCATTTTCTCAATATGTCTACGCCTGTATTAACGAGAGAGATCAGGTAATATATTAAATATTTTTATAACCACATATAGAATTTTTACTCATTTTTGTGAAAGAAACAACTGCTTTTTTTGTTTTTCTCTTATCTGATAATGATGATTTAATTTTTCAACAGATATTAATTCAAAGAGCTTAAAATCAGAGATATGCATATTTTGATACAAAATCGCAGGAGGAAAAAAAGAACAAATACGTTTCTGGTATTAAAATTGTTGAAAACCTGCACAAAATTTGTCTGTTCGTTTGTTTCAAAATTTTGCACAAAATAACACTAGGGTTATCTGCACGTAGCTGTCCCTAAGTAATAGGTTATACAGAAAACAGCTAATCAACATCACTCATCACCAACTCTTGAGCTACTCCTGTCTGATCAAAGTGGCATTTTACCATCACTCTCACAGTGCATCCACTGCTCCAAAGTGTGAAGCACATTTATGCAGCAAGATGTTGTTACCCATGAATCCTTGAACTTAGTTTGGGCACACAAATAAACAGCTCCAATAAACTATTTAATATGTTTATTGTTTTAAAACATCTACACTAAAGATTTTAACTCAAACGTTAGAAATTCACCATATTGTTACGTATCTGCTCATTTGATAAGTTCCCGTAAAAATTCTTTCCGCGATACTTCAGCGATACAAGTCCTTTCTTAATTAAAACTAGTTTATACTTTCTCGTTACATACTTTGTAATACACTTAATTTCCACAATCACTTTAACTTAAACACACGCTGTCATTCACAATGATTCACGCACTTTACTTACAGCCACTACAGCTCAAATGACTCAATTATCTGTCTCTATCTGCAATTATTATCTCTCCGCTTTATTTGCCGAACTTATATACTAAAATAGAGGGCGTCTGGTAAACACTAGAGTTGCCAGAAACAGTCATGATCCTTCTAGAAACTCATGACGTGTTACCAATGTCACGTGACTTCCGCTGTCGTAACAATATAATACTACTACTACTATTACATATGTCACAGTTATCACAAATTCCTTGTTTTACAACTGCAACAAGTAACACTACATTCATAATTTACAAAAACACGATTTCCTTCTTTTAAGGTAAAACTTTCACAGCAATTACATATAATATAACTCAATTTTCTTGTCTTACGGCTATGTTCCTGAAAATTGATTAAGAGTTGTATCACTTCGAAATAACTATACAAAATAGCAGTTTTCCTTGTTTTAGGACAAAATTACCTATATAACTATGTAAAATATATTATGTGATAAATAAACCTGAGTAAATATTTTCGAAAGCACTCGGGTTATAGGTATTTTATTCATTTCTATCAAGACTTCTTGAACCTATGTGTTTTTCTAACATTATGAACATAACAACTACACATCACTATCTAAAACCCAGACAACTCATATTAATTGCACCTGACCTGAAAATGTGTGTAGGGTTTAAAAAAACGAACAAAAAAAATCGAACCCTTCACATTGGTATTAGATATCAAGGAACATTTGACTGTAAAGTGTCTAATGTAGGAGAGCTTTCATTTTTCCAGGGTTAAATGAAAAAAATCAGGACTTTTCTGGGTGTAGGGTGAAATTCCAGGAATTCAAGGACGCGGGTGAACCTTTCTTCTTCAGGGGTAAACTCAGTAAAATCCTTTTATCACTTTCAAAGGCCATCAGTGATATCAAAGTCATGGAACTGAGAAACGAATGTCGTGATTTAATGGTGAAGCTTGCTAGTAAGATACTGGAAAAATCCCCACTCAAGATATATCACATGCCTCGACCATAGAACCATGGCAACATCAAAACGCGACAGCGTGACAATGAAGAAAAAAATGCTTGCTTTGCTGATAGAGGCTAGGAGAGTGACCAGAAGATTAACAGCCTTTGATAACATATTGGCCCAGTTTGAAGAATCCATTGATGTGGATGTAACGCACAATCAATCAGATTTTCAATCGTTTTGGCCACACAACGAGGAATGCAGATTAGATAAATTTTGTCCAAGTTTCTGTCTAAAAATATCCACTTCAACAACGTCTGGAGTGATGTAAGAGATTTGCTCCTAATTTCACGTGGACAAGCAACTGAAGAAAGAGGATTTTCTATCAACAAGGAAATTGAAATGGAAAACAATCCCTCATTTTACAGAGATTAATCTATGACAATATTAATGCTGTTGGTGGAGTCCTTAATGTTAACATCAACTGCTCGTTTCTAGCTTCAGCAGCATCTGCAAGACAAAGGTATATGACCTTTACCGAGGAACGGCGGAAACAAAAAGTGGAGGCAATACATAACATGAAATGACAATATCTGCAAGATGATATTGCTGCTTTGCATAAGTCGGAAGACAAGTTTGCTGAAAAGGCAGAAGCATAAAGAAAATTTACTTTCGTTACCAAATCGCATGGCCAGGTGGTTAGGGTGCTCGACTCGCAATCTGCAGGTCGCGGGTTCGAATCCCCGTTCCACCAAACATGCTCGCCCTTTCAGCCGTGGGGGCACTATAATATGACGGTCAATCCCACTATTCATTGGTAAAAGAGTAGCCCAAGAGTTGGCGGTGGGTGGTGATGACTAGCTGCCTTCCCTCTAGTCTTACACTGCTAAATTAGGGACGGCTAGTGCAGATAGCCCTCGTGTAGCTTTGCGCAACATTAAAAACAAACACACAACAATAAACGAAATTAATAGTATGCCCTGAATTGTTTGCTGCACTTGATTGAACAAAATTGAACATATTTTGAAAAAAAAAAAAAAGCTTACACATTGAAATAGTAGAAGTTGCCCAAAATTGTTTGTGGTAAAAATGTTATTAATATTTAAAATAGTTTCAATAGCTATGACTATCAGAATCTTCACTTTAAGCGCTCCAGGAGTTTAAATAATTCTAAAGGGGGGGGGCGCTAACAAGAAAACAATTCTTACCTTTAAGTATTCCTCAGCAGCGACTGTTATCGTCTGCTAAACACGGCTGTTAGTTTACACGCTTTATTAGATGATATCATGCTGAACAAATGCAGACTTTGGTTTGTATTGGGAGTGTTATAGCGGTAATAGGAACAGGTATTTGTGAAGTATCGAGACAAAATTTGCCAGATATAACTAAGTCCGGACTCCAAAAATAATATTCAATCGGAAGTAAAATGTTTGTCTTCAAACCCATGACAATGAACGATAATAAGGAGGAATCTTATTTATTGCTATTTTGGAAATCACGCAGTGGCGCTTATAAGAGCAAGGGCGCTAAAAGGGAGGAATATTGTGAGTTAAATTTAGTATGTAAAATGTAAGAAATATCAAATACAACTTTTAATTGTTGGAGACGGATTGAATGGGTAATAAAGAAAAACTTTAATATAATATAATATAACATTAAAGTTTTCTTCATTACCCATTCAAACCGTCTCCAACCATTATTAGTCTTAAAGTGGGTTTCTCGTCATCGAATTTAAATGCAACTTTTGCTGTCCTTTCCTTACATATACCATATAAAAACTAAAGCTTCAGTATTTGAGTTATAGTTGAACATGATGATTCGGTGATGTTTTAAACCATATGTTTTACATTATTTTATTTTTATCTAGGCATCAAATGATCGATAGAAAATGACCAACATTTAAAACCCTGATTTTTCTCTATATAAAAATAAGAAGTTGGTGTAAGATTGTAGTTTAGCGGCACTACATTTTTCAACATAAAACTTACACTTTTATATTTCGAATCTCAAACATTTTCTAACATGTAAAAAAAAACAAACAAAAAACATTCATAATTGTAAATATATCTGATCCAATGTGAGTCGTATCTGTATCTGTTACAAAAGTAGATATTGGCAGAAACTACCAGTTAATTAAACTTGTTTAGGTTCTGGTTAAAATAAGACTAGAAGAGAGTAGAAAATGTTGGTGTGTAACCTAACGAAACTTCATAATGAGTATTAGATGAATACATTTATGTGCAAAAATTGTACGCGTATTTCTTCAACCATCCAGAAGATATCAAACGAAACTTTTCATTTTTATTATTTGAATCAGGTGAATGTTTTGTTTGTTTGTTTTTTTAATTTCGCGCAAAGCTACACGAGGGCTATCTGCGCTAGCCGTCCCTAATTTAGCAGTGTAAGACTAGAGGAAAGACAGCTAGTCATCACCACCCACCGCCATCTCTTGGGCTACTCTTTTACCAACGAATAGTAGGATTGACCGTCACATTATAACACCCCCACGGCTGAAAGGGCGAGCATGTTTGGTGTGACAGGGAATCGGGTGAAAGCAGGAAGAAAAGCCCGATTGGGTAGTTTTTGTTTTTTTTTATACTTGGTATATTTCATTTCGATGCCTTAATATAATGCTGTTTCTTTTATATGTGAGTTTGATGTACATATAACATTTGATTATCATGGAAGTCTAAAATCTCTACATTCGAAATAAGTTGATAAAAGGAATGAAAATTTTATTTGATAATTATTTATTTGCTTAATGTCTTTTATTTATAGACAACGAGAGATTTGTCTGTTCTTGACTGGAAATAGATATTAATTTATCCAAAATTGAAGTAAGCCGCCAAATGAAAATAGAAGTAAATTCTTCTTCAACCTAGCGTGTTTTTATTGACAAAGATGATAAGACAAACTTAATTGATGGAAAACTGATGAATTGAAAATGTCGAAAGAATTTTTTAGAAAAAAATCAAATAAAATTCTGCCTTGTTTCTAAATTTAAAAAAAAAATATATTCCATGTTTATGTTTCAGATCCGTATTACAAGTACTCCGAATCGGAAAGGCCTAAAACCAGTTTTATTAGTTTGTTTATTTATTGTTAGGCACAAAGTTCTATAATGGGCTATTTGTGCTTTGCCCATTGAAGGTATCGAAATTCGATTTTTAGTGTTATTAGCCTTCAGATTTACTACTGAGCCATTAGGGGACTTAATTTTACTAGAACAATTTTTATTCCGTTCCATATTCAACAAGAGAATCGCGTTTTAGAAAAAAATGATATTTAGGAAATTCAATCGTTTCCGTTTTACGATATCTGTTTTGTGAGGAAGATGTTTTAAAGCTTGGACGACAAGCTGAGTTCAGTGTAAATGTTAGTCTAACAATTTTATTACACGTGTGCATGTTGTGTAATATGCAGATGTCTCTTTTAGTTATAGGTGTAAAGATAATGTTCCTATACATTCAAATTTCAAGTTCGTAGATTAATTACATAAAGTTCAACGGTTTGAATTCTGTAACTTTCGCATTGTAAATGTTTCCAGCTTCACTATATAAAGTGTAATAACTCGAATTCTGTAACTTTCGCAGTGTAAATGTCTCCAGCTTCACTATATAAAGTGTAATAACTCGAATTCTGTAACTTTCGCAGAGTCAATGTTTCCAGCTTCACTATATAAAGTGTAATAACTCGAATTCTGAAACTCTTTTTATAGTTTTATAGTTTGAAATTTTGTTTCTTTGTTTTTTGTTAAGCGCAAAATTGCCGTGCTCACCTCAGGAATCAAGCCCCGAGTTTTTAGCGTTATGAGCATCAATCATACCGCTTAGTTATCTGTAGACGTAGTCTTGTTAAAAAACGTGCAATGGCTCGAAGTTTGAAACTTGAACGTATAAAAGTTCAAACACGTCAATAAGTAAAGAGGAAAACGTAAACGAGTTTTACTGCAACCACATTTGTTTAGCAGTTGATTCTTTAAAAATGGCCATTTTAACCATTTTGAAAAAGAAAAACAGAAAGCTTTCGGCTACCGATTATATTAAACGTCAATTAAACAGATAGGTGAAATATAGTTTTTGAAACGGATTCATATTGATATTTCATGCTCTTGGAAACAATGTTCGACAAAACTAGGGCTGTGGATCAGTGTTTATTATTTGAAAAACTTCGTAATGATTTGACATTCTCGGATCTATCATAGTTTCAAGATTCTTTAGTGACGAAATTCTATTTTGGAAAAAAACACTTCAAGGAATATAATGCTAAAATTCCATCTCTGTTGCTATAGCTTTGCGCATAAGGAAAAAGCACAAAAAACACAATGGAATATTTGTGCTGTGCTCATCGCGGCTATCTAACCCTGAGGGTTGCGGGTTCGAATCCCCGTCGCACCAAACATACTCGTCCTTTCAGCCATGGGGGCGTTATAATGTGACAGTCAATCTCACTATTCGTTGGTAATAGAGTAGCCTAAAAGTTGGCGGTGAATGGTGATGACTAGCTGCCTTCC